AAGCCTCCAGATGCTATATCGTTTGATAGCTGGGCACCATCAGCTTTCTTCACATTTGCTGCTTATGCTACTGCTTTGTCTTCAGCAATCATGTCGGGAAGGTGAGCATCATGGAATGCCAGTTTAATAGAACAAAGTGTTCTTGCATTGAGGGAGTAAGTACTTGAGTGGAGGCCCAATGTCCATCTGCTACCTTAATAGTAAACCTATAAATACATGCACATAGATCTACTTCCCCATCAGTGTATGTATATTTACATACGTACATGCCTGTATTTAGACCTCTATAAATGCCCTTTGCCTCCTAATTCTTTTCTCTATTTCCGTCTACTTTCCACTTGTCCCACTATCATGCTCAGCCTTCATTTGGGTTTCAGTAATTCCTGTGAGCTACATAACCCTTGATCAAGCCCTATCAGGCCTCCTATACCCTCCTCGCCCCCAATTTTGGATCGCTTGTTATTCCCTTGCCCCTGGGTTTGTAAACACCCACTTCCTTTCTCCCCTCCCCCTCGCATGTCCCCCATGTCCCACTGTTTTCTCCTCCAGATTGTTTATCTCGACTACCTTATCTAGATAGACCTGCAGAGATAATAATATGCACGAAAACAAGACAGGGCAAAACAAAGCAATAAAACAAAACAACAAACCAATGACCCCAAAAAGGCCTGTAAATAGTTTGTTGACCTTTAGGAGTGTTTTCCAGTGGAGTTTGATGGGGTGCCACGCCCTGGCCCCAAAGTCTATTTTTGGTATTCCCTCCGGACTTCTTTGCTCTGCTCCCCTTGCTGTTCTGTTGTATGCTCTTAGCATTTTGCCTGTGTGGTGGGGTCAGATGAGGCGCAATTCCCACACTGTCTCTCCAGTGTTGTCCCCCATAGCGCTATGGGTTAGTGAGGGACATCGAGTCTCGTAGTGGGGTTGGCCATATGGTCCTCTGTGCATTGGCTGTTCTGAACAGGGATATCCTCCACAAGGCTTGGTGGGCCAGGATGTGCTCCACTCTCTTCCTCCCCCTTCATTTGCTCCTGTGTGCTCTGATCAGACATGACCCTCTCTCTGAGTTGTAGCTTCAATGCTGTCCTCTGAAGTAAAATCTTTTGGGGAGATTGGGGCTGGCCCCTCAGACCCCCCTACTGGTTTGCTGCTTCATGTCGGTATGTTGCATCCACATCTTGGAGCATCAGGTTAAAGTCTGGCCCCTCTTTCCCTGTGGGGATATAAACAATACCCTCCCATTGTGTGCGTTAGTGCCCTGTTCCCCCGCCCCTCCTTTTTAGTTGGCTACCATATGTATCCTTGGATTTGGTCCAGCCCCTGCCATACTACCTGGACCTCATCCCAGGAATGTTTGTATGCAGCTATTTCCCTATGCCCCTTTTGCATTTTTCTTAAAGCTTACCTCAGCAGACTCATGTTGTACTTGTCCTTTTACTCTTCTAACAAGATTTTACCAATGAAAAACCACTCCTTTTTGTAAGCAGAAAAATCTGAAAACCTACTCATCTTGAAGATGAGACCCCTTTCCTTACCCAGAAAAGATAAAAAATTAACAGATGATCAAGAAATCCCTTTATAATAAGTTCCATGAAAAAAGGGGGAGAACCGAGTTATAGCAACTCAAATTGACATGACTTTTTACACAAGATGGTGGTTTTACTAGAGCCTGAGGCTAAAACTCCATTCTGGATCAAGAGTAGGTGCTGGTTCAGCAATGTGGTACAGCATTCCTGTAACTCTCCATTGCACCCTGCCTGTGAAAACACTTAGTAAGCAATATTGGAGAATAATGTAATTTTGCTTGCTTACGGGTTTTGCTTGAGTGCTACGGTGGGCCTAACCCAAGCCATGGTTTTTCTTTTTTACAAGCCATGGTATTTTCAATGGCCTCATAGGGGTGTGAAAGTTGAACACTGAATAAAGCAGAAGAATCAGTACATCTGAATTAGGGTGCTGACAAGAACACTGGAGGTACCAAAAACCATCAAAAGAACAAACAAATCTTGTCTCAAAGAAGTACAATGCTTCTTAAGAGGCTAGGGTGGTGAGACTGTGTCTCGTGTATTTTGGACACATTGCCAGGAGATATCAGTCCCTGAAGAATATCATGCTTGGTAAGAGGGCAGCAAAAAAAAAAAAAAAAACACGCTCACAAGACGGACTGATTGACACAGTTGAGAGAACCGGCTCAAACAGAAGACCAATTGTGAATGTGCAGGGCCGGGCAGTGTTTCCCTCTTGTCCCAACTCAATGGCACCTAACCACCACTAGGGTTTTGCCTACCAGGTCCAAAACAAGAAGTTTGGTCCAACGCAATTCTCTGAACAGATGTGAACTCAAAATAAATTCTGGAATGATGCATGTCCTCCCTGCAGTCACATGAGGGTGGTCCCATGATGGCTCCCAGATCAGGGATATCCAATTTAATGATTACTTTGTAGTCTAAGAAACAAATCGTTAGAAACATATGCAAGCCCTACCTACCCATCAGCTGTAGCCCCACCCAATTTTGTAACCCTAAATGTCAACCACTGAATTTTTACTAACAGTTGTATTTTCCTGTAAAAATTCTCAAATATTTCCTGCCTGAATTACACAGTTCAGAATCCTCTGGACCCTGATTCCCAATTTACAACTTGCCTTGCCTCTCAATAAAAAAGCTCTTTGCTTTTAATTTTGATTGGATTCTGAAATTTTCGTTTATGCTGAGAAGTGTGCGTTCTCTTTGGCTTCAGCAGGTTGATATGACAATGCTTCATTTGTGTGAGAGCCCTTACAAAGCAGCTCAGTGCAGCCTCCATTGGGAGTCAAAGGGCCATCCCCAGTGGGGACTGATAGAACACGACACTGCCCAGGTAGTAAAGGCGAATATGGGGAAGCTAGACCATCATTTTTACAACACACAGATGAGAGAAAATGGTTTTAAACACTAAGCAAGAAAGGCTGACAACAGTTGAGAGGCCAAGAAGTTGATTTCTCACTTCGAGGTGACCTCGTTTGTCGAAGCAGATCACCACAGCTTTCTCTGAATACAGCTCTGGACGGACTCCAACCTCCAAATATTCAGTTCGCAGCCAAGTGCCTTAGCCCTGTGGCCCCTTAGACAAGAACAGCTTAATGCTTCTGTCTATAACAAGTTTTGGGGCATTGACTTAAGTGGTCATGAACACTTCTTTCATCATATTTGACCCTTTCCTCATCAAGGGTAGAGACCCAGTCTGTTTCATCCATCATTCTATCCCCACAACCTAGAACAATATCCACTTCAAGATCAAAGCTCGGCAAATGTTAGCATTTGGCCTAATATCCTTAACTTGGCTTCTTCCTTTAGTTTTGTCCCTCCCTGACACTGCAATCTGCAAAAATGGACAACTTATTGCATATTCCTCTTGAAAGGCCATAAAACGTTCCACAGTTATCACGACCCTGCATGTTTGTAAGGCCTTTGCAAACCCGTTCAACTTCATTGTTCAACAGCCCCCTATTCCTGAATGTATCCCAACCTTACTGAAAGCAACTCTTGCCTTCTGGCCTTTGCACATCAATCCCCCTACCCACACCAGCCTTGTGGACAACTGCGTCCTAGGTTCAGTTGACTGTCTATTCCTCCAAGTCTTCATGAGTGAGACCAAATTGGGTGTTTTCCCTGTGCCCCTCCATCACTCTCTAGGGTTCAGGCCACTGGTGGGAATCATTGCCTTATTGGATTTTGACTCCTCTGCTGTAATTTGCAGTTGTCGCTAAGCTCCAAGAGAGAAAGGCACTTATAGTGCTTTGTTGTCAAATGGCGGCGCCACACCACAACAAATTATCTTCCTCATACAAGTGCGTCATTAAAGGAGTCTATTGCACAAACCTAAATTTAGCATAAAGCTCTGTACTTTCCGAAGCTGGAAGAAAGCAGTTAAGTAAACCCAAGCATCAGAGGCACAAGAACTCAGAAATTAGCAGCTTCAGATACAATATTCTGACAGATATATTACATTTGTGAACATATTAGATTCCCAGGAGTCTAACACCCCATTGTTATAATGGACGTTTTGCTTAGCAAAAGAAAAAGCACTATTCCCCATCCATGTGCTGACGGCAATGTCAAAGTCGTCGTGTGTATGGATCCCTCTATCTTTGCCTCACTATCCTTTATTTCAGTTTTTTCAACTGTGGCTCTCCACTTATTAGTGGGTCACAAATCAATTTAGGCAGTACCAATAAGTATCAGAGAGCAGCAAATATAAGCAGTGGATATTGTTTTGTAAACTTTATTTCAGAACTATAAATTTGTGTAGCAGGCTTATGTGAAATGTCTTACTAGATGCCCCAAAAGGTTAGGACTGTCCCCTGGGAAGTGAGAGGGCCATCAGCTAGTTATTTCAAGGTGCACTGGTCCTGTTCTGCCACTACAAAGATCCCCTGTGCACATTTGGTGTTCATCCTCTTGTTTTGGTGAAGAAGAGGTAGAAAGTCATTTTCACTATACAACTTCCTTGGTTACCTGAATGCTTCAAGAAATACACTAATTGTTTTAACGATGAGTTCATAAATAACACCCTCGTAGAAAACAGTTAAGTTTTCCCTACTTGGAAACTCAGGATGTTGGCCAGTCACCACTTCTCACAGTGCTGGTGGCCCAGAAAAGGACATGCTGGGGATGCCGTTGATGGACTTTCATCCTTTACATGCAGACCTCTAGGAAACAGAACACAAAGTTCGCCTCCGTGCCTTACACTTCTGTCACCTGGCACATTTTTACAGACTGCTTTCACAAAACATTTTAAGTGATACTTCTTTCATTTTAAAAATTATATACAAGAAACCCTCTATGTTTTACATAGGAACACACAGATCGATAAATTATTTATCATTTTCCAAAACTGTTTTATCAGTCTGGATTTGATAAACTAAACGTTTTAGAATTCCTTGAGTTAAAGTGAAATCTCTTAAAGTTCTGGGCAAGCTAGATGTTTTGTGCAAATCTAATGAACAGAGACTATGGATACAGTTTGTGTTAAATAAGGTTTATTGTTAGCTTTATTGCCTATAGTCTCTACAATGCAACTTTATTGTGCCTTTGCAAACAGAATACACTTTAAAAAAACTGATCAAAATTTTCCATACATATAGCTCTATATGATAGATAACAGTGCAACACTATTCTTGATACATTAGAGAAATACTATAGAACCCAAGAACACAGGGTAAGCAAAAAGAAATACAATCCTGAGCCATCTGAACAAGATGAGTTGATGAATCCTTTTAGAGTACGTTTAGAAAATACAGAGGGGAAAACAAAAACAAAACAGAACAACATGCACACGGCAGTCATGAGCAAAATACACCGCATACCTGGTCCTCTCGACACGGCCCGGGGCCTGGTGAATTTCAGACATGCACGCACGCACACCTGCTCCCACTTTCTCTTCCTGCTTCCCATCCATCCATCCCCATTCATTCAGTCCCACCCCTTCCCAAAAGAAAAGATATCAGGCACTAAATCCTAGTGAGCCTCACACCTGCCTGGCTGGAGAACAGTAAATGACCCTAAGGGAAGTGTGTAGGCAGCTCGCCCACAACACGAAAAAAGCATGTGCTCTAAGCCAGGTCCAGCTGCTTTCCCCTCTCTGGAAGTGACCGAGGCATATGCCCACCACAGCCTAGAACTGTATGGTGAAATGTCTTGAGAACAAAACTTCGTTTCTCTTCCTATGTCTTGGGAGTAAAATCACCCTAACACTAATTGCAACTCATTTGCTCTTAAAACACACTTGTTATTCTGCCTATTTTTGGTATCTACTCAATTATAGTTCAGTAAGAAGAGTTCATGAAGCTTGTACCTGTTTAGGGTAAACACTATAATAGTACCATGTAAAACGTGCCACAGCCGGGCAGGTTTACGGAGTACAAACCTTCTGTGTGTCCCTTGCTAACATTCTGAGACCACGGTACTCTAGTGTTACCCAAGAGAACGTACACAGAGTTAAATAATGAAAGGTGTTTGGTTGGTGTTTGCATCTTACACATCCTAGTGATGAATCTAACCAAACCATGCCTCTGCGCCTTCCCTGAAAATAACCTGAGTCAGCTGACTAAAGGGACTGACCAGTTTGGCGGTCAATCCACTTAATCAGAGGTTGAGCTGGAAAACCAGAAGGCTAATGAAGCCTGCCAGCAGTTTGTCTTGTGCGGATAACCAAGCTCTCTTGGTTTTTGCTATGTCCACTTGTCGCCAAGGCTGAAACACTGTGGGGGAAAGAACTGACGGCCTAAAGAATGCTGAACTTACACTGTCGCCCAAGGGACCACTTGGAGCGAAAAAGGATCCTCTTGCCCCACAATTCAGTGTGGGGGTTAGTGTCTGTACACATTAGCTGCTAGAGAAAAAAATCAAAGATTTACACCTCATAACTTCCTTATTCTCAATTAAATGCGCACACTCGAAAAATACACACACATCCTATGAATATGAGGTGGCTCTTTAACATTTTTTTAAATTAAGAGGCACCGATACCCGTTCATTTATGAATAGAGATTTCATATAATTACCACTAAAACAATAGAAATGGCATCTGTGATAACTACGCAGAGAAAAAATTTGAAAAGACTTTAGCCCTGTTGGACTGAGGTTGTACTTGAAAATGCAGATGTTTGGGGCAAGCTAGACTCTAAGGATTTGACAATAGTTTTTTACAGTTTCACATAGTGCTGTGGCCTTTGTTCACAACTGATACAAAAAATGGTTCCCAAAGAAGTATAAGAAACCATCCTGAAATTGTTTCCAACGTACACTGTTAAAATCAATTGACTGTAAAAAACCTTGAAAGCTCATGGACCTCTTCCAAGTGGAGGCACAGGGAAATACATAGCAACCCCTGCTGCATGGCTGAAGTCGCATCAGTGATGACCCATTCCTAACACCATTCTGTGCAGGTATGTCTACAGCAGGAAAGGCAGAGCATTGTATTCCAGCATCTTTGGTTAGGGTCTGGCCTCTTCAAATGCATCTCTCCATGCTTAGTCTCCAAGGAACTTTAAGTTCATGTACTTAAAGGAGGTAAAAATGACATCATTTGTCAGGTCAACAGAATTTCCATTTTCAGCCCTCTCTCTCGTTGGACAATAGGAATCTTGTAGAGGAAGCTATAAAATCACACGCTTCGTTAAAGCATGTTTCATGAGCTATGGAAAAAACTTGCCCACAGGATTCCCAACCTAGGGAGAGGGGACCAAGCAGCTCTGGCTTTGTCTTTGGAAGTGACCTGAGCGAGCTGTGCATTATGTCTGGCCCCCAAAATATTCACCACTAGCTTCTGTCCAGAGCAAGGGCTGGATTGCTCACCTAATGTCAAAGCTAAATGTGGTGTGTTTGAGGCGATGAGAATAAAGCTAAATTTAGTGCAGGGAGAGAAAGATAAAAAAGGATGAAAGTCTGAGTTTTAACCCAAAGGGAGGGGCAGGATATACCTATATATACGTGTATATAATAAACCAGATTTTATACAACCAACCAGAATATTACCTGGATTCTTTACCTATCTTTCACAGACCTAGGAGTTTCTCTGCTCTCTCCAGCTGCTGTCTTTGTGCAGAGAAAGCAATCTTTAGAGAAGCTCACTTTGGAACACTGAGGCAGAAATATGGGGCCAAAAGTTGCAGTGTGGTCAGAATGAGGCTGGCCAAAGCCAAGCACCGGGAGCTGGCCAGTCACGAACCAATCCCTGGCTCACGCACACAGCACAGTAGTGCTCCACTACAGCCTGGCCACCGTTAGCAAGCAGTGCTGTCTCTGCAGTACCTTCTCTCTCACAAAAGCATCCCAACTCTCCCAAGTAAACAATTTAGGATAAGCGATCCAGGCTGGGAAACTTACAAATGCTGCCAGTTTCCAAAGAACTTAGCACCAAATCTGTTATTCTCCGTCCCTCAAATGAAGTCAATCTGTAGTTTAAAGTAGGAAGCGTCAACTTCTTAGCTTGTGTCGTCTTTCATTTTCTCAGAAAGCTTTCCTATGTGGGTGCTTCACTCGAAGTCCGATGAAAGAAAGTCTCAAAACATTTGGTGATTTCCATGGAACAGTCCTCTCAGAATGAAGGAGCCTCACGGCTTTAGGTCAACATTATGTCCCCAGAAGTCTTTCCCATGTAGTTCTGCACACAGAGAAAGCCTCTTACTAAGTCTGACACATGGCTATTTCTGGGCAGTGCTTTAAAAGATGGTGACTCATGAGAAAAAAAAGATCATGATCTGTTATTCATGAAAACAATATACAGATTTCAGTCAGAGATGATACACTTTGCAAAAGAGAGGCGTTAAATTCAACAGCATACTGAAAAAAAAAAAATTCAACAGGCTACTAGTCAAATACCGAAACAGCATAAATAGACTGCACTACAGAAAATTGGCTAAGCTTCAAACATTAAGGGTTAAAAGTGATGAGATTGGTAAACTGCATTTTAGGGCTGGAACATGCTTCTTCCCTTCCAGATACACGATGTTTGATGCTGGGCACCTTGACACACGCGCACACACACAACACTTGTGTCTTCAATGATCTACAAATGCCAGGGACAGCCAAGTCCTGGAGGCAAATTTCAGGGAATGGTGCTGCCAAGACCAAGAGAGCAAATAGCAACATAAGAACACTTCTAACTTCAGAATTTCATTTTATTGAACACACTTTTAAAACGAGCACCTCTTGGCAATAAAAGCAAAGAAGCAGTATTCATTCCACTCTGTTCTAGCGGAAGACTTGTCGTACCAGCCTGCCAATTGCATGAGGAGGTCTGAACCAGGTCGCCCACTGGGGCTACAAAGGGAGCACATGAGCAGGTGGTGCTGACTCCTCAGTGAGCTGGAGCAGAGGAAAACACCAAAAAGCAAATTTGGAATCTAGCACAGCTTTCTTCCTTAAGCAAAGGAAAAATGCAAATTAGTTTTATAATCACAATTCCATTTTATCAAGCTTATTTTGAAGAACTTCCATTTAATTATGCATACATAACGGGAAAGAAAACTTTTACACAAATATTCTCAAAGCATACAATTACCAAGAAAAAGGACAAAAGTAAAAGCTAGAGAAATATTAACCACATTGGGCAGGGGTTATCAATTTCTGTTTCGGCTCTTAAAAAGTAAAAAAAAAAAAATTACCATATAATTAAGTACAAAAACCTGCATTGAATGACAACTGCTGGTGTATTTACTTGATCAGAAATGAAGACCAAGAATATAATAAAGCCCTATAATAATCATCATCTGGAGCACTCCCCTCAGTGTATGTATACTAAAATGTTGGCAAAGTTTCCAGAGCATTAGCTTATATAAACACGGGAGTCCTTGATTAGCTGCATTAAATGGAACATTCTCTTCTGATATGCGCTCACAATTCAGTTTCACTTACAAATTGCAAACTATAGTTATTTCTTCAGAAAAATATCTGTTTGGCATCTCCTGGACTTTGTTCCATTGGACAATATGGACACTTTAATCTGAAGACAAAGAACAACAAAAAATCAATACTGAATCAGGGGAGCATTTATTTTCATCTAGTTAAGAGATTATCTTTAACCACTGCCCGCGCGCACACACACCACACTCTGGGTGTCTCTGCATTCTGCTCTGAGAATTCACTGTGCTTTCTACCAAGTTCTAAAGGGTCACAAGTAAACACTGCCTAAGCCAGATCCTGAAATGCAAAGCCTTTCTCTAATGAAAAGTATTTTGTAATAAAACAGACAATTTTTCTCAAAATTATTCCAGGGTGGATGGATAGAGAATCTCAAGTAAATCAATCTTCTCTTCTACACAGATTTAGGTTGTATCTGTCTCTGGTTGAATATGTTTCTGAGTCAACTTCGAATGTGTTACTCAGATGACCCAGTCAAGGGCAGAAAATCTGACAGCAGCTGCCGAAGGCATACACAGCCATGTTAACAAGCCAAGGCCTTCCCGTGAAAGATGAGCCTTGCCATAAGTTCTGAAATAAATTCCAGCAAAAAATTCTCTGGCTGCTCAAACTGGAAACGGTACAAACAGGCATCTGAAACTTAGTTCTATGAATGGATATATCATGGAGAGATGAGTCAATCACTTTCGTACCGTTTACAATAGCAAAAACAAAATGCAACATCATAGAAACCCACCAAATGGGAACTGGTTAAATGCATGACCCTATTTCCACAGGAAGAATCCTCTGCATCTTCTTAAAAAGGATGAGGGTCCCTGCAGCACATAAGAAGACCTCCACGACACATGACAACACGAGAAAGCAAAGTGTTGCTTTCACGCTTGCTATCACTGTGCAAAAAACGGTACTCACTGGTTCAATTACACCCACCCAATTATATCACTCCAGATAAAAGATAATGACCAGGAAAGGCTTCTACCTTATTATGGTAAAAAGATCATGCTTATAAATACAACCATAAAGCCTAGTTATAAATTATAAAGACTGACAAAAGATTAGTTCTATCCACTTCAACAAATGCAATCTACTTACTCTGAGTCTAGCTATATTTACCTCTGTCACTTTTTAGCCTTCCCATAAAGTTCTGAAAGACATTAGTAACATATAAAGTCAGACACTTACTTGCTTCCATTAAACATTTTATTCAGGGCATCTCTTGATATAATATGACCACAGACCAATTTCATGGGTGGATTGTTATCTGTTGTTTGTTGACGGAGGATGGGACAAGCAAATATTGAATGATACCAACATTTTTTACCAAGGTCCACTTCAATCTGTGTAAAAAAAAAGGTGGGGAGGGGTTAAAAAAGCAGAAGTTTTACTTCATTCCTCTAACTTTTCAAAAACCCAAGACAGGCTCCATGATGATCAGTTTGGGGTGTTTTTCTCTTGTAAAACTGAAAAGCTAATATTAAAGCCCACTACCCAAACTCTTTTAAGAAAATTGACAAAGAATAACAACAAGCCTGGGGGCTGGGGGAGAAATCACCCCCAGATCATTAGGCCAGAACATCAACTCCAGTCACTTGGTGAGCCTGACAGGTAAGTGTAGGTGAATTCAGACTATAGTCTGTTCTGGTGTGCAGGTGTAAAAGATGCTCACAGCCTAACTAGGAAGCGGTCAGACTGTGGTTGAAACCTGCCTCAGGCAGTACGTGACGGCTCAAGCTGGAATCTGCAGCAGTTGAGCAAAGACAAGTGCTACTTTTTTTCCTGGCCACAATGCAGGGCTGGAGCACACCTGCACTTTCAATCAAAATAGATTTCTGAGGCTCACCAACTGACACCAAGCTGGGGCAGCCAACTGACAGGATCACCAGCTGGACAAGTAAGGTAACTGCAGAGAGACCTGTGCACAGGCGTGGATGCAAAGAGACAAAACCCTGACAAGAACAATGATAATTCCTGGCAAGAGTTTTTATCACTGCTATAAGAGACCCAGTAAAAATGCAAAATTTCAACACAGACTGGCTCGTTAGCTGCAACATATGAGCTATCCGCTCTGGGTCCCTCATTACTTCTAAGCCTGCCACCTGCACTGTGGTTAGCATTCAACATCCACACACAATGAAAAGGATGATCCCATTTTAGAGGCGAACCAACTGTTGCCTTAAGAAGTTACTGAGTTGGCAAGTGATTGGAGTTAATAGCTAAAATTGTAGTTCTTTCCATCACAGCAGTGGACACAGAGCAAAGGTGTCATTTGTACATTTCTAGTGTTTAAGAAACAATTTTAAACACTTAGGTCTTTATTCTGATTGGTATTAGAACAATATTAACAAGTGAAAATTCATAACACAAAATTAATCCAACTAAACTATGTTTGGAGAAAAAAAAGCCATGATATAAGTGGTGTGGGGACCTTGCAGAATACAAGCAGAGAGCTTCTGGCATTTGCTTGCATTAGGTTTCACAGTTACTTTACATTGAACTGATAGTTATTTGGACAAAAGTCCTTCAGGGAAGGGAGGGCCTTCAGTAAGTTGATGATAAAACAAAACAAAACAAAGAAAGAAAACTTCCATGAACTTTTTGAAGTCCCATTGTACAGACAAGAATCCCTCAAAGGGCTACCACATGGTTTTCTGGTTAAAAAGCAAAAGAGGGGCATTGAAAACCTTTAGTTTCCACTATTCCCCCAATCGCAGGAAAGGTAAATAGACAATAGAAAACGCAACTCACAGGTAATTCATCTTTCTGGTTCCAAACTCCAGTGCACTGCCTCTGTTCGATCACAGCTTTGATATTAATTAAAGCTGGCAGCGCCACACACCCTGCTGAGAAACTGGGAGAGCAGAAGAGCCGTCAGCACAAGACTATTTGGACTAAAGAAATGTCAATTCCTCCAGACTCAGAGTGTTGAGGCCATGGCCAGTGGGTGGAGCACAGAACCCTCGGCTTAACCAAAAGCAAACGCAATGGATTTCCATTAAACCAGCCATCCTTCAAGTCTAGGACTACACTCACTCCTATATTAAAACAATCAATCAAGGGAGAAAGCAGCATTCACTGAAGGGCAAAAGTTCAAAGGGATAGGAAAGGAAGAATGGAAACAGGAAGCAGAGGGAGGATGTGGGATTACTGCAATAAATGAGGTGCAACAACATGAACCAATTGTTGAATGTAGACTAATGAGCTGCTCTGGAAACCTTCACCTAATTCATAATAAAGTTAAAATCCCAATTTGTATCTCTTACATCTGTAACAAACCACTTACATGTAAGGACAGTGATTCTGTGTGATCATTTCGATGGGATCATCAACCCCAGCAGAGAAGTGGAGAGTTTTGGGAGAGAAGGGTAGCAGGTTGGGTAAAAAGGTTGGTAAGTGAAGGTATATCTGACCTCCATCTCAGAGCAATCTCTTTGGGTTCATCCTGAGCGTCGTCTCCCTTGAAGTTAGATAAGCTCTGACAACACAAATACCACTATTCCCATGAATTTACAGATTTTCCCCCCTTAATAATACCTATGGCACGGTATCATACACCGCCATACTTGTTTACAGTCTTTGTAAAATGTATGACCCAAAATATGTATCTAACTAGAGCACTAATAAAAATGTGGTGATTTTTAATGCTTTATCAAGTGATACCAGCCTTTTTAAAACTGCAAGTATGGGGGTAAGTGAAAAAAACACATTGTTGTTAGGGATCTAGCTCATATATGTCCTGGTTTATCCAAATAGAACATGTTCAAACATGTCTCTGTGTTGAGTAGATGGTTGTAGAGAAGTTCTCTCATTAATACACTTGTGGTTTTAAACAAAGGCCCAATCAAAACTGCATTCTAAGGGAGTCTGGCCACTTCAATTCAACCTCAGAAGATTGTGGCAACTGCTTTTAGGCACTCCAAAGGGCAATCATGATAAACATTTTGTAAATGATATAGAATGATTGTGGGGGGGGGTGGGGGGGCTTTACTATGAAGAAGTTTTTTAGAAAACTGAAAAGCACATTGGTTGAAAATCAGGCCAGGAAAGTTACGCCAAATAATTTTTTCCTATCACATTCTTAGAAGGTAGCAAGGGCTGTCATGAAAATTTTGTTAGGAAACTGTGGTAGTTAGATAATTTCATGTCAACTTAAAGTGCAGGGGTGGAGTCTAGCCTGTCAATCAGGTCATAGCCTGATAGTGCCTCCTTGTGAGTGTGACCTTCTCACAAGGAGCACCCTGGGAACCTCCCTCACCCTCTGCTTCACCTTCCTGCTGTCCAGTCATCAGAAAGCTGCCAGAGACACCGCCTTTGGATCTGCAAAACTCTGCACCCACAGACCTGTGATCTTCCTGCATTTTGCATCATTGCTTGTGACTGCGTGAGTCTGAAGGGGGGTTTATGGACTAGTATCAGACATAAGGGCCAATATCGGACTTAAGGACTTGATCTGGACTGGGCTGTTTTCCTGATATGTAACTATTTCTTGATATAAAGCTCTCATACATATATACCGTATATACGTGTGTATAAGCCGAGGGTTTTTTAGCACATTTTTAATGCGGGTTTTGTAGTAAAATTAGGTGCCTCCGCTGATATTCTGGTCGGCTTTACTCAAGTATATACGGTATAAGTGTGTCCTTGGATTTGTTTCTCTAGTCAACCTGGTCTAACACAGAGACCAAACCACATCTGCTTCTCCAGACTATTTTGTTCACAAAACACAAAGAACATTGAAAAGAACATGATTTGAGTCCCTTAATGGTGCCCAAATCACTGCTTGGGAGAGTACAATTCTTTGGGGACATGAGAGGCCATTGTACTCTCAGAGTACATTTGGAGACATTTGGGACATTGTACTCTCAGAGAGTACAAGTCTGGGGACATTAGAGATGGAAATATTATCTTCAGAAGTGTACAGAATGAGATGAAGGATCTGCTGAGACATAACAACTTAAATTTTGTCCTGCAAATTTTATCATTTAATAAATATCATTTGAAATTTCATATTACTGTTATTTTGGCTTCTCTGGTTTTTCATGTGGCAATGCTTTTTGACTAACCCTCATATGTGGTGGTGAGGAATACAGGTGTTTGTAGTTTGGTGCCACTTCCAGCCCCCACACTCGTATTAAAGTGTTAACAGTTTTACCCGCCATTGCTTCTGCTCTATCTGTGTAAATGCCATCACAGTGGAAAAAGCTCTCGGGGACCTGAGACCCGGACTACAGAGACTCATGTCCTAAAATTCGGAGTTACCACCATTTATAAAGATCTCTTGCAATGCCAACTGCACTCTTTTTGTTATCAAAGCAAACCTGGAAACTCAGAATGTCAAACATTCTCTGCTTTAAATATCGAGAAGTGCATAACAAGAGCATTTGGCCATTGCAGCACATGAGTATTTCTGTAACAGAGTCAATTCCCTTACCTGACACTGAGAGGGGACTCCACAGAGAGCCCTAGTAGGGCACAGGCATCCCGTGTAAAGATGTCACAGATGTCCGCCCACTGGTTTGCATCAAGCAGGTGAACATAAGGTGAGTTCTCAATCCCTTGCCTCAGGTATACAAGACTTCCCATCAAAACCTGAATGTCTGAGCAAGAGAGACAGTAATGAGGAGGTGTGAATGGCCCCACCTGAAATACAGCTTGCTTGCAAGTAGCAGGCTGAAAAAAGGCAAATATATTCCTACCTAATTTGGCCTAAAATAACTAAGTATCCTTAAATTTAGCTTCTCTCCCCATCTCCACATGAAAAGAAATACATTTATGAAGGGAACATGAAAGAAAATGAAAACACTAAATATTAAACTTACAGTTTTATTCTTAGACACAGTAATATAACTATTATCTAGAAGAGTAGCAATTACATCAGTGAAACCACCATATATCCTTGGGTACAGACCACAATGAGCCTTGTAGTTAGTTCCTGCCACCCTGGCTCTCAAGACACTGCTGTGGATACAACAGCAGCAGGAGACCAGGCTGGGATAGAACAAGAGGAAGAACATGCCTTACTCTCTATCTCTCTGTTTAATATGGAATCCCAGCGACTTCAGTGGGTCACATTCTGACTCTTCATTTGAGAAAGTTTAATGTATTCTAGGGTCAGTCAGAGTTTTTCTCTAAGTGATTATCGTCTACAATTGTTGTGGCTCATTAGTAAAGCTAAACTATTGTGCTCCGGTGGTGGCTATAGGCTTCAGAGGAGAAACCTGTCAGAGTGCAGACTCACCTTTTTGATGATTGAGGGCAAATGGCTGAAAATTTTTAGCATATTGTAATGCCTCTCGCTGATTTGTAGTTCCCCCCATTAGCAAGCTAATAAAATACAGCCTGTGTAGCTTAAATTCCAAGGAGCTGTTCTGGGCTATGAGCATTTCTCGGTTTGATACTGCCCATCTAAAGAAAGGGGGGAGAAAATTATGTTTTAAATAACTAAGAGCCCCAAATAAAAACAAACAAACAAACAAAAATCCATAATGATATTAAGCACACAGTCAAAGTGTATTGAGCCCAGAACACAAAAAAGGCCTACTCTGCCATCTGGAGGATGACTTCCAGTAACATCTCACCCTACGTCCACGCAGTATAAACGAAGTAAACATGCAGGAACTTCAAACGTTCATGGAAAATCGGAATTAAAAATAGGCTTTTTCAACAAACTTTCTGAAAATCCCATAAATAGCCTCAACTACAACTAAAAAAATCAGAGCAAGCCTACAGGACAAAGTAGAACCGCTCAGAGGTTTCTATAAATCTTTACAGAAGCGGGTTGCTATATCTTTCTCTCATGACGTGGCTGGCAGGTTCAAATCACCAATCTTTTTTATTAGCAGCTGAACATGTTAACGCTGCATCGCCACGGCTCCTCAAAACATAACTATACATATTCAACTCCTAAATAGTTGTAGACCTACCTAGATCTTATGCAATTCTCCTGGGGGCTTTACTATCCAGCCACTACAGAATTTATGAGTTGGCCCTTACTTGATGGCGGCGAGTTTGAGTTTCACAAAAAAACTAGAAAGATGTTTGAACCCATAGCATCTTGCATGTCCTAAGACTCGGAATAGACTAGCAATGAGTTAGTGTTGCACTAAAAGAAGAGGGGGGTTTAAGTTAGATGATAATGACAATATTTCATGTGGTTTTCAAACAAGGACAAGGACTGCTGTATCACATGATGTATTTGGAACACTTTGAGATTCACTACGAAATTCCCTAGATTCTGTACACCTTT